AGGCCTCAGGTCTCTTGGGAAAAGTGTATTTAAAAACTTTTTAAGTTCATTATAAATTGCTTCCCAAAAACCTTCACCTTGCTGCATTGCCACCACATATGGTAGAGGTCTCCACCCATTCACCACATTTCCAGCATGTCTTATTTTCTGATCTATAGATTTTAGCCAATTTTGCCGGCGTAAGATACCATCTATAGAGCATTTTCCAAACATTTTCTCTCAAACTCGTACAGGCCGTAAATTTAATGTCTCTATTCCACAATTTCAACCACTTTTCAAACTCGATGTTATAACCGAAGTCAATTGCCCATTTAATCATTGCCTCTTTGACTTCCTCGTCTTTTGTATGCCATTCCAGTAATATGTCATATAATTTAGACAATGTTTTGTTTTTGCCTTCTATTATTTCTATATTGAATTTTGATTTCTTGTCCTCAAAGCCCATTTTTTCTTTTATCTTGTTTTAACATATCATTCACCTGATGATATTGTAACCAGCCGGTGAATTGATCCTTTATTTCCTCATACGGTTTAAGTTTAAGCCCTTGTTCTGATTTTCTTAGCAAATCTTCGTAGGTGGCTGTCTTCCCTTCCATGTTGGTTTTTTTATTGTTAAGACCTCTACTGGTGAAATCCACCATGGTGTTTTTCTTTCGAGAAGGTTCTTATTTCTTTCCCAGACCTGATATATTGGTCCCCTGAAAATATGGTTTAAGAAAGCCCTGTGGACTTTCACCTTCTCGTACCAAAGATATGCGTGCCACCCATACCGGTTATTGAAGAAGAGCAGATGCTCTTCTTAACGTTGAGTCATGATTTGAAAAACAATGTTTTTAAAAAAGTGTTGCTTCTTGAAATATGATTTTTTTCATTGAAACTCTTTAAAACAAAAAGTCAGCATTCACTATTTATTGGTTTCCTACAAAATATAAACAAGTTCCCCTGTTTCACATCCTGTTCACTTATCAAATCTTGTTTGTGAACTCAGTGGATGCCAATTGTTGGAATGTTCATCAGAAAATTTTATGAAGCGGTACCATACTTCAATAAAGTCACCTACATTTTCAAAACATGCACCTCTTTGCCAGTTTTTAAGGTAAAGCAATTGCTCATACATTCTGTCACCATCATGTGATATGCCAATGTCCAAATCCTTTCCAGTTCAGTGCTATGAGAAGTAATGGCACCAGCAAAAGAAAAGTAACAAGTTTCTTGTAGATTGAGTTGAACCTTCTTTAAATATTATCGAGAAACCGAAACTTGGGTTACATTTTATATATTGATTTATAATATTGCTTATTTACACACACTCCCAGAATGGCTGCACTTAATCACATAGCCACCACATATGGAGTGTAGTACCAACTGTGTTACATCCTCTCCAGCACATTGGTGATGATGTTTTGTCTATGTAGCTGCATTTTAATGGGGTTAAATGCCATCTATACATTAACTTAGAAGAATTTTCTTATGAGGGTTGATCTTAAAGGGATTTTTATTTTTTTGCCTATAAGGTATTCCAGTCTGCCTCCTTAATTTTGGTACCTAGGTCAATGTTTCCCTTAATTGTTTAACTGATGAACGTTGTAGTCAGAGGCTTCTCCAGTGCCCCAGAGGAGGGTTGGTCAGGTTAGCCATATTGATTCGTATACTGTTGGGCTGTGTATGTGATAAAGTTTGCCTTTATTACTAAGATAATACATTAAAACAACTACATTAATGAAATTGAGAAGTTATCTTTGTTCTTAACTAGTTGTATTTTTCCGAAGAGTGCACCTTGCAGAGATCTCTTCTTGACTCCAGTTTTGTTGCAAATTCTTGGCAAGTCATGGCAAAGTTACTTAGGACCGCTAACAAAGCTTTGATAGTGTCTATACCAAGTCTTGATCTCTGAGATGTTCACATTGTGTTCATGGAAGAAAACACACTCTCCACTGCAGCATTGCTTCCTGGTAGGCAGAGACACAGTTGAACCAACTTTTGTAGCTGTGGATAGGGGATCATCTTCTGATAGAAGAATGAGAAAATGTCACTCCATCTTGAACACACATCAGCACCACTTAGTCCATTTAGCTATATTTTCTTTTGATACATATTATTTCAAAGAAGAAATTTCATCAAATAGATGATCTTCACTTAGTTCAACTCCTACTCTTGATGAAAAATATTGGAGACACTCTTCAAAGTTTTCTCCATGTGGAAAAGTCCTAAGCAAAATGCACTCCATACACCTAATAACTTCAGAGTGGGAGCTCTAAGCAGTTAGATCAGGGGTCAGCAACCTAAGGCCCATGGGCTGGAAGCAGCCTGCAGAGGTCATTTGACCAGCCCACGAACCGCCTTTCAACCGAGTTGCCCACTCGCGTGCTGCACTATCCTGCACAGCGCAGCACGGGGACTCACTTCTGCGGCACCAAAAATTGCGTCTGTGCAGATGCAGACCTAAAACTGCAGGCGTGCATGCGATCTGGCCCACGGAGGGATATACACGGGACTGAACCGGCCCAGGAAAGATAAACTGTCAGGAGGAGGTCGGTACACCAAAAGGAATCCTGTACTGCCCTATTGCCCAGCTTCCAGAACATGCACTCAGAAAACTGGGTCTTTCCAATAGGGCGCCTGGTGCAAACTAACAACTTCCTAAAAATCACTGCAACCCCCCCTCCCCACCCACATGAACTGGGTTGCTGTGCGTAAGAGACAAGCAGCAGCAAGGACAGGCCCATCTGCTTCATCCAAGCAGGTCTCTGTCACGCATGCCAGGTCAAATCCTCCATCCACAATCAGGTCGTGGATGGCAGTGGTTTTATTTATCATTGACCTGGCATTGCACAGCAACACTTTCAGGTCATGTGGGTTTCCCTTGCTGATTCCAGTATCCTTCCAGTCAGGACCAGACCCAGAAGCAGGGATAGTCCTCAGATAACGACTAAACCTGCCTCCTCGATAATGACATGGTCTGTTCTCATCGTAGCTCCTCCTCCTGCCCGTGATCACTGAGATCGGTTGTCCCAGTGCTTCTGCCCCCGTGGAACCTGCCCCAGCCATTCTGTTGGTTGAGGCCCACTCCTAGGCAGCCCTGACCCTTTCCTCTTAAAAAGCAAAAAACAAACTATACAATAGTCTTAACAAAATAGTAAAAGTAAAAGCAAAGCCAAAAACAATTATACTAAAATAAAACTAATCCCCACCCCAATTCAACATCCCACCCCAAACAAAAATAAATAAAATAAAAATATATAAATAAAAACCACCGTTCACAGTGCAACAAAGTAAAAACGCTTTTAAAACATTTTAAAATATGTAAAACTATTTTCGACATTGGCTGCAGCAGTAGCAGCAGCATCAGAGTCCTGAGGCCTCGCTGGAGCCTCTTAGAGCTGTGGTGGCGAGTGTGGGCCCTGACCCCTAGGCCCTGTGGAATTGGCCTGCAGGAGGGAGTGGATGGCAGTGGTCTTATAAATTATTGACCTGGCATTGCACAGCAGCACTTTCAGGTCATGTGGGTTTCCCTTGCTGATTCCAGTATCTGTCCGGTCAGGACCAGACCCGGAGACAGGGATAGTCCTCAAACAACAACTAAACCTGCCTCCTCGGTAATGACATGGTCTGATCTTAGCGTAACTCCTCCTCCTACCTGTGATCACTGAGATCAGTTGTCCCAGTGCATCCCCCCTGTGGAACCTGCCCCAGCCATTTTGTTGGCTGGGACCCACTCTCCGGCAGCCCTGAGCCCTCCCTTAAGAACAAAATAAAACCTAAAAAACAACACACACAATAAAACAATACAAACAAAAAACAGTAAAAATTACAAACATACCAAAATTAAACAAATTCCCAAACCCGACTAAACATCCATCCCACCCCACCACCAAAAAATAAAAGGGAAAAAAGAAATTTGAGAAGCATTTTAAAAAGAACTCTGCACTGTTCTGAGTCCTCTTGGGCAGCAGCAGTGGCAACTGTCCTTATGAGGCCTGTTAGGCCCCGCCCTGGGCCAGATGGTGTGTGGCAGGAATGGGGCCCTTAGGCACTCAAGCAGGGGAGTCCTCTGGGGCAGAAATTTGTGTTCCTGCCCTACTATCTCACGAAACTCTTTTAGATGTTCTACTCTCACTGTAAATATGTGAAAATAACAAAAAATCTTTACTACAAGTCTTAAAACATCAACAGGGATTGGATTTATTGCAGAATGTGTACTGTTATGTATCATATGATCATTACATCCCAAGATGAGAATATTCTTTCCCAAACCTTCCTTCATTTTGTTTGAACCTTCAGGTTGTTTGAACCTTTCCTCTTCAGACCACCAAAGTTAGTGTTTGTAATGTCTGCTGAAATTGCTACCACTTTGTTCTCAAAACCAAGATCCTTGATTGTTTGAAATGAAGCCATGTATATTATTTCCCCTGTAATTTGAACAAAGTCCACAAGTTTATTATGGATGGATAAAGCTTTCTCAGCATTCACATGTATATAGTGAACAATAATTGGTAGTAATATTGTATTCCAATGATTTGAAGCATCTAGAAGTATAGTTACAAAAGCAGCACAATTACTTTCTTCTACAGCTTCAGCAATTGCCCAGGGAACAATTACGTGTTTGAAAATGGCTTCAACTTTTGTTCTGGAGCACGTGAATTTCGGTTCATTGAATTTCTTAAGCCAGAAGTACAGTCCATATACTTGAAACTGTGGTAATGCCTCATGGTGTGAAATGCGAAAGTTCCTTCTTGAAGGGCAATGTTTATTTCACTTTGATCTGGCACAATCTTCTTAAAGTATGTTGATACCTTTGTGTTGCTACTTTCCTGAATCACTGAGCTTTTCTGTCTCTTAGTTGTAACATGTTCAACAACTGAGGTTCGCCGGCCACTTCCAACTTGCTTCACATAGCGAACAAAATGCAGAATGTCCCTTCACTCCTCTTCTGATAAATGGAAAATCCTTTAGTATCAAATCACTAACCACACATTTTCATTTCTTTGACAACGTATTAGCTTCAATAACTACAATATAAATTACAAAAAGTACATGTGGATGTGTTAAAAGACTGCCAATACTGCTAAAAACAAACACTCCACACTGGAAAAAGCAACAGAATAAAAGAGGAAGAGGAAAACAGAAGTGAGATGTGAAAACAAGTGCGTGTTGGCAGGGAGCCAATCACATTTTGAGAGAAAACCATGCGATAGCAGCTAGCCAATCACACTTTGATATACATATTGATGTGTCTTGTGCCATTGAACAGGAGAAAAAGTTTTAAAAGAGGATGGTGATAGTAATGGGATGGTGGGGGGGGGGGAGGAAGCACTTCCCCCTCAAAAACAACCTAACTAACCTAAAAAGGGACTCGGATTTTTGTTGTTCTCCCCTCTTTAAAAAAAATAAAAAATGAGAATTTAAATAAATAAATAAAGAGCAGAGAGTCTGGGGTGAAGTGGCGATCCCAGGGAATGGCATGTGCTGGTTCAGGGCTCTCTTCTAGGCACCGCCATTTTATTTTTTAAGCGAATAATTTACGGTAAAATAAAATTAAAAGGGGGGGGTGGAAAATGTGTTTTTAAGTAATTTTTTTAAAAAAATTAGTAATAATAGTAATTTGGGGAAAGGAATTAAGACTTAACAAGTAAAAATAAAAGTAAAAGATTGCTGTAGCGGCAATGGCCCCCTTTTTAAAAAAAGTTTTAAAAATATTAAAAAATAAAAGAAGATAAAATGGAATTAAAAAGAGGGGTTTTCAGTATTTTGTATTTTCCCTGCCGGGGTGTGTGTGTTGACCATGGTGCATTCTCTTCTCTTCTGTGGTGTCTTTTATCGCACGGCCTCCGTCTGTGCCCCAGCCTGCTCTTGGCATGCTAGCCACTGGGGAGGTAGGTTTGGGTCTGGCCTGGGCTTGGCCACATGTTTCCTTACGGCTTCGTTGCCCTCTCAGTACTCTCCTACCTCTCCTCTTCTTCCCCTGCGGCAGTGGTAAGGTCGGGGCTCTTTTTTTCTTTTTCCACATTGGCTCTGGGGTCCAGCGGCCCCTGAGCTCCACTGGGCCATTGTCCGAGTGTTTTCGGTCGCTGGGGGGCGGGGGCGTTGCAGCTCCCTTGGTTGACACACCAGGCACCCCCAGTTCCCCTCCGGTAGTAGAGCTGGCGGTGACAGCCCAGGAGCCGGCCAGGCAGTGTAATTGGTTCTGACTGGCTTCAGGAGCTGCTTGCCGCCGCAGTGTCCGCCATGTTGTCTCTGGTCAAAGCCTCCTCCAGTGCCCCAGATGATGCACACTGGCCAGAAGGGTTTGGTGCCTTTTCGGCTCAGCAGAAGGGAGGTGGTGGCTGTGGGAGCTTCCTTAGTGGGTTGCCAGCCATGGCTGCTGTGCTCCCCCCCAAAAAAAGTTTGGCCCGGAGCGGTCCACCCCCACCTCAGCTACGCTAGTGAGAACCAACCCCCTTCACATCTTCTGGCGCATCTAATATTGTCAAGTAAATTGGGGTAAGTTGAGAAGTTAAAAACATTTCCCCCAGATATCATATTTCATGCTTACTTCCAAGTTCTGTGGTTTCCCAGGAACTGACTCCGTCTCTCAGTAATTGCACTAGTCCTACTCTTTTTTCCTGATGCGCTAAAAGCTAATTTCTCTTTAGAAATTGTATCCCCAACTAAAGTAACTTAATTAAACACCTTATTTACTGGCTGCGCTGACGAACATCCTGAAAGCTTTTCTAAAAAACTTGTGATTAGCTTTGCTCATCCTCAGGCCATCCAAACCAGGAAGTCACCTTTATTAATTCTAAAAAAATAGTATTTATTTGCAGTTGGGGGGTGGATATGAAATAAATAGAAATCTATATTATATCTTTGTAAAGTCACGCCTAATAAATAAAAAGAGCATAATGCGCAGTGTCAAGGTTAATGGAGTTTGATTGAAACAGCAAATCTAGGCAATGGTAGGTTGTTGTTTTAAAAAACACTCCAAGGAAGATAAAATATGTTGAATTGTACCAATTGGAAGGACTCTGCTTGAGTATTTGTCTAAACCCAGGGGTGCGCTTTGTTTAATGACCCCCCCCCCTTATTTGTAAAAGAATTTCAGGGCAGAATAAACAGTGAACATCCAACTTCCATATGTTCAATGTGCTAAAGGCATTTGGCGAAGCAAGCAGCTTTATTTGTTTCTAATTGCTGCAGACTTCATAACAGGACCTTCCTCTCGTGTACCTCGTATACCCTGTGGGTTACAATTGTAATTCAATTCCCACATGAAGTACGCAAAGACAGAACTTCACAGCATCGTTTGCGCCATAATATTGTGTGCTAAGAGCCCAGATGTTGACTCTTTTTACATGTGTTCATGTGTGTCATGTCAGTTTCTATAGTTAAGGCCACAACTCGTGATCTTTGTACAGTCATTGTATTCTGTCTTTATTTTATTTCCATAAAATTTATGCACCACTTGAGGGTAAGAAAACCCCCAAAACCTCAGAGTTGTTGATAAAAAGCTAAAACAAGAAAATCAAGGAAAAAAATCACAACCCCAAAGTGCAGGTGCTGCTACACCAAACAATTGAGTTCTTAGAAACTCAAGGTATTATGTGGCACCTGTAGTAATACCAATTCTTCTGATGAAAGCTGTCGAGTGTACGCATTATGTTTTCATTATATTAATATATGAGAACTGATATGTAAACAGTTATACTTTCATTCAATAGAGGTACGTTTTCTAAACTTGTTTTCTGAATGATTCTTCCCAAGTCAATCAGGATATTTACATATGGTTCATGAAGAGTTTCTTTATTTAACGTTCATTTCTGTAATTATAAAGATTTAAAAATTGTAGATTTCCCTGAAAAAGGACCCAAATGGTTTGAAATGTGTTGTTGAAGTTGCGGATAGGAGAAAGTTAATTCCTAGGTAATCAACTCCTGCTCTATTAAAGATGGTGTTTTTCAAGAAACTCAATTTTTGTCTTCACACCTAAATCTTTATATCTTCAAATATTTAAATCTTTCCTCTACACACCTATTGACCTCCCTCCCTCCCGATTTCGGGCTTCTTAGCAAAAATACTTTCTTTTTCTGCAGTTTATAATTGTTAATGATTTATACATCGTGAGATCTATATCAAACCTGCTATAGTTTTTAGGTTTCTATAATTCCCTTCAATATATACCATAAATTTATTCCAATCACTAATAAACTGTGTATTTTTTGGTTTCTGATTTTTTGTGTCATTTTTGCTAATTCAACAAATTCAAATAATTTTATTTGCCAATCTCTAATCGCTGGGGTGTTTGGACTTTTCCAATTTTGTGCAATTAATATTCTAGCCGCAACTGTAGCATACTGGAATAATGTCTTTCATCCCCAATTATTCCTAGTAGGAAGGCCTCTGGCCTTTTGGGAAAAGTGTATTTAAATATTTTTTTTAACTCAATATAAATAAGTTCCCAAAATTTCTTCATTTCTTCACATGTCCACCACATATGGTAGAAATTGCCTTCTTTAATTTTACACTTCCAGCAGGCCTTATTCCCTGTTTTATACATTTTCCCTAATTTTGCGGGGGTGATGTACCACCTATACATCATCTTTTCCAAATTTTCTCTGAGTGTGACACATGCCGTGAATTTCATTCCACTAGTCCATAATTTCAACCACTTATCATATTCTATATTGTATCCCAAATCCATTGCCCATTTTATCATGACCTCCTTTATTTCTTCATCTTTGGTATCCCATTCTAATAATATGTTATACATTTTGGATAATAACTTGGATTTGCCTTCAATTATTTCTGTCTGAAATTTAGATTTTTTCTCATTCATCCCTACTTTTTTATCTTCCTTCCATGCTGCATTTATTTGATGGAATTGCAGCCAGCCTGTTAATTTGTCTTTCAGCTCCTCATATGATCTCATCTTCCATCCGTTTTCTGATCTTATCAGTAGGTCTTCATAGGTCAGTCTTTCTCCTTCCATATTTGCTTTTTTTGATAGTTAAAATGTCGATTGGCGATAACCACCAGGGTGTTTTCCATTCTAAAAGTTTTTTTATTTCTCTCCCAAACTTCATATAGTGGCCCTCTAATAATGTGGTTTGAAAAACCATTGTGTACCTTTTCTTTATTTAGCCACAAATAGGCGTGCCAACCGAATCTGTTGTTGAAGCCTTCTAGGTCTAGGAGGTCAGTGTTTTCCAAATTAATCCAATCTTTGATCCAACAGAGGCAGGAGGCCTCGAAGTATAATTTCAGATTGGGTACCGAGAATCCCCCTTTTTCTTTCCGATCTGTAAGTAGTTTAAATCTAATTCTCGGTCTTTTCCTTGCCATATAAATTTCGAAAGAGTTTTTTGCCAATCTGTAAACATTTTGGAGCCTCTAATCACTGGGATATTTTGAAACAAAAATAACATTCTTGGGAGTATGTTCATTTTTATTGCCGCCATCCTTCCCGTCCACGAAAGTTTCACTCTATTCCACATATCTAGATCTTTTTTAATCTCCTTCCATGTTGTAAGATAATTATCCTGAATTAAATTTATGTTTTTTGTAGTTAGCCAGATTCCCAAATACTTTATTTTTTTTGCCACCTTAATTCCATTCTGTGTCTCCAATTTTTCTCTTTCACCTTTTCCCAAGTTTTTAATCAACATTTTTGTCTTTAATTTATTCAATTTGAAGCCAGATAACTTGCCAAATTCTTCCAACATCTCCAAGGCCTTACTAACACTTTTCTGCGGATTTTCTAAGGATAACATCAAGTCATCTGCGTACGCTTTTAGTTTGTGTTCTTTCGTTCCTATTTTGATCCCTCAAATCTCTGGTGTGACTCTTATTTTATTCGTGATTACCTCTAGTACCATAATGAATAAAAGCGGGGATAGAGGGCATCCCTGTCTTGTTCCTTTTTCAATTTTAAATGAATTTGTTAGATTGTTATTTATAATCAGTTTAGCAGATTGATTCGAATAGATTGCTTTTATTCCTTCCATAAACTCGCCCTCTAGCCCTGCTTTCTCCATACTTTTTAGTAGGAACTGCCATGAAACATTGTCAAATGCCTTTTCGGCATCGATGAAAATCAGCGCCGCAGGTACTTCATTCTTACATTCCAAATATTCAATGATGTTTATGGTATGCCTTACATTATCTTTAAGTAACCTATTCGGAAGGAATCCTGCTTGATCTTTATGTATTAGATTTACTAGACATTTTTTGAGTCTGCTTGCCATCACGTCCGCGAAGATTTTATAATTGTTATTTAATAGTGATATGGGTCTATAATTTTTAATATTTAATTTATCCGTGTCTGGTTTAGGGATCATCGTAATGTGAGCCTCTTTCCATGTCTCTGGTGCCCTTCCTCCTTTTAATATGTTATTCATGATGTCACATAGCACTGGCATTAATTGGTTTTCTAATACTTTGTAATATTTGGCTGACAATCCGTCCGGTCCTGGGGCTTTCCCTGGTTTCATCTTCCTTACTGCTTCTTGGATCTCTTCTACTTTTATGGGGTTATTTAATTGAATTCTTTCTTCCTCTGTTATGGTCTTCCCGCAGTAATCTTCTAGATATTTTTCTATTCGGGTTATCTCTTCGTCTTCTTTTTTGTACAACTTCTCATAGAATTTGAGGAAATTTTCCTTTATTTCTTTTGGGTCTTCTATCAATTGCTCTTCTATTTTTATCTTGTTTATCACGTTTTGTTTTTGCCTTTTCGCAGTTGCCAAGCTAATGGTTTACCTGTTTTGTTAGCTGACTCGAAATATTTTTTTTCATTTGTTTCATTAATTTAATTTTCCATTCAATTTCTTGACTTGTTAACATTGAATACTGTGTTTGTAACATTTTTATTATTTGTATGTTTTGCTCATCTTTCGGATTTGTTATTTTTTCTCACATTCTCTTAACTGACTAAGAATTTCCTCTTTCTTTTGTTCTCTTACTTTCCTCTTATAGCTGTTTTGCTGAATAAAAAACCCTCTTAAAACCGCCTTACTGGCGTCCCAGACTATATCCATGCTTGTTTCTTTATTAAGATTCAGACTGAAATAATCTTTTAAGGCGGCTTTGGCTTTTTCAACAACATCTTCATTCTCCAATAGGTATTCATTCACTCTCCATCTGAACCCGCCCTGTGATGTGCCTTTTATTTCAAAAACTATAATGGTCAGAGAGGGTTCTAGGTTGGATTTCACACTTTATAGTTCTTAATGTAAGTTCCCTTGAGACCTAGATTTGATCAATTCTGCCCCAGCTCTTATGTGGCTCTGAAAAAAAAGTGAATTGCTTCTCCATTGGGTGTTTGTGTCTCCAAATGTCTATTAAATCTAAGTTTTCCTCCAAATTGTTAAAGGATCTTGGCAGTTTCCCTTGATTACATTTTTTCTTTTCTGTTTGTCTGTCTATTTCTGGTTTTGGCACTCCATTGAAATCTCCCAATAATATCGTCTTATTACACTCTAACTCCAGTAAAATTTGTTCCAGTTTCCTAAAGAACTCCGGTTTATTCAGATTCGGGGCATATATGTTTATCACATTAAGTTTTTCACCCTGGAAGTTAATTTGTACCCCCAAAATCCTTTCTTCGTCATCTTTACAGATCACTTTGGGTTCCCATTTTTCTTTGACATATATCGCTACCCCTCTTTTCTTTTCCGCAATAGAGTTTATAAACTTGACCCCCAGCTTTTTGTGTATCAAAATATGTTTATGTTTTTTAGTCACGTGTGTCTCCTGTATGCAAATTAATCAAGATTCTTTCTTTTCAAAACATTCACGATTTTATTCCTTTTGTTTTTTTCATTCAAACCGTTCACATTCCACGACAAAACTTTCAAATTCATTATTATGACTACTTTCCGCTTTGCAGACAGCTAATAATTTAAATTCTAGTGGTTTTGTTTTCTATATCCTCTTCCTCTTCTTCTTCCTCTTCCACTGCTACCTCTTCCTCTTCGTCTATTCCTTCTTCCCTTCCTTTATCTTCTTGTTCTTTTCCTTTCTCCTTTTCCCTTCTTCTCTCCTCTGGATCTCTGTTTCTTCCTTCATATCTCTCCTCTACTTTTCCAAGGTCTTTCTCATATCTACGCAAAAATTTCTTCACCTCTTGGGTCTCAGTAATCCTGAATCTTTTATTTTTGTAAAAAAAGGAAATCCCTTCAGGGAACTCCCATCTGTATTGTAAGCCATTCTTTTTTAGAACACTTGCCAACTGTTTATAACCTTCTCTTTTGCGCAGGAGTCTGGTTGGTATCTCTTTAAAGATGATGATTGGTCTGCCATCAATTATTAATTTCTTTTGATAGCTTATTCTTAATATCATATTTTTCATTTCTATCGAATTAAATATAACTAAGCAGTCTCCTGCGACTTTTTTTGATTTTACTTGTTTGGGCTTTGATTTTATTCTAAAAGCGTTTTCCATTGTATATGCAACCTCTTCTTCTTTCAGTTCTAACCATTTCGCTAACTCTTTAGTCATTTTTTCTTTAATATTTTCATTTATTTCTTCTCCTACTCCTGTAAATTTCAAATTTAGCTGTTTTTGTTTCATTTCAATCCTCGCTAAATTGTCCAAAACTTGATCCTGATTTCTATTCAGTTCTCCTATCTCATCCTTTATCCTATCTGTCTCCTTTCTTTGTTCTTTCATTTCTTTTTGAATTTTTTTTATTTGTTTCTTCCATAGTCTTTGACCGGACTGTCAGGTCTTTAATTTTACTTGACAGTTCTCCTACTGCTCCCTCTATTTTCTTCTCTATCAGCTCGTGCATCTCTCCTAGTTTTTTCTCCATATGTATTTCACTCTGTTTGAATTCCTCCTTTATTTTTAACCATAGAATATCTAGGTCCTTAATTTCTTCTTGTCTGGATGTTTTTCTATCCGATGGTGTTCCTCCTATCTTTTTCCCATTTTTCCCAGACATTTTCTCCATCTCCAGTTTTTTTAATTAAATCTCTTGCAATATTTATGCTCTCCCCTAGAGGGCGCACAGTCTAACCAATTCTAATTAGTTATCAAACAGTGTGTTCAAGGGCACTTTCTTAAACACTAAAATTGCAAATTTTTACCATTTAGAGTCAAAAGGGATACATATAGAATGGCTCTGTAAGTCTAATAAATCAAATTATTCTCAGTCTCTTTAGGTTCCTACAAATACACTAAGATGTTATTCATACAAAATTAACTATAAAATTTCCAACTCCAATTCTAAGATCCCAGATATCAGTTAATTTCCCAAATTAACGACCCAACTGATAAACTTGCAATCTATAAACTCCAAATTTGGATAAAGTCTAACATAACTTCATAATTAATACAAGTTAATCCAAATTAGTTCAATGATAAACTTATTAGGAGATTGTTAATTATGTAGAGATAAAGGCCTTATATAAAGAC